GATGCTTAAGACGTCTGTTTCGAATTCCAGAGGAGTAGCTTCGATTCTGTTTGAGGGCAAGCTTTGTCTTATTCACGAATTCCCCTGAGCAAGGAATTTATCACACAATGCTTCAGACCGGAGTCGCTCAATCGGTAGAGCGTCGTACTCAGGACCGATAGAACCAAAGTTCAAAGCCCGGTCGAGGTCACTCACCCTTCTTCCTTTCGAGGTTGATAAATAACATTCGGTGGGAAGAAAACAAGATACTCAATGCTACGGTTGCCACATGGCTGTAGGCTCTGCCTTTAATAATAAAGTACTCCTGACCGATGGCATAGAAACGCAAATCAGCACCGCACCATCAGCTTCGTGAAAAGAAGGGCGTCAACGCGCCAATCATATTACTGAACAAAGACGGGCATTCCAGTAGTAACTAACTTTCCTTTTCTTTTCCCAACATATATAAAAGCGTCCGTACACACTTTTCTGGTGATGTTCTTAAGCCTCACTGCGAAGACTTACATATGTGATACTGCTCTGATAACTTACGATAAATAACTTATTTACATACTGACACTTTAAACATTAACAAGGAGCAAAGTATTGCTCAGGCCAATAAAATTATGCAACATGCGTCTATAATTGCAGATGCAAACATACCATGGGGTAGTGGTATATTTAAATAATCCCAAGTCATCAAGGAACAAGATGGAAAGAACACTAGTAAAATATTAAGTATAAACAAGTATGGCGGAATTATGCCCATCTGCTTGATGCAGTCGTATTTTTCGTCTGGAAATATGGTGGTTTTCTACCAAAAAGCAAATTTTGTATGCAAGCTGGCCATAACTGCCGCCTAGAGTAAAAATAACCATGAAAACTTACGAAAATATGTTGATGAAATTCCACAAAACGAGAAAAATAACAAGTCGTCTGCTGAAATTGTTAATTCTTGCATCTCGCCATGCCACAAAATGCTTGCGAACTTCAACCCAACTGGACAGAATGTTAAGAATGCCTGAAAAAAAGCGAAAACACTTCTGCCCCGGCTATCGGGTCAATCGACCACTACAATACAAGGGTGAAATAATCAGTTTTCTTTAAAATATATAATCTGAGCACAAGATATATAATCGCTAAACACAGCACATTGAGGAAACGATGAATGTGTGAGAAAAGAAAAATAAAGACTACCTTCACAAATAATAACTTGCTAAAAAAATCATACATACGTCGTGCAACTAAAAACTCTGCCATTCAATTTTTCTTTAAAAGCAAGTATTCTTTTAATGAATACTGCTGTTTTATCTGTGAAAAGGGTAACACCATAATCACTAGCTGTTCAATTCACATCGTAGTTCTTTCAAAGCATTATTTTGGAAAGCACAATGTTAGTCTGAAAAAGCTATCGGTAACTATTCCGATAAATATATAAATTTACATACACAAACAACCTGAAAAGCTGCGGTTCCAAAAAGAAATTTTTACGCTTAATAATTCATCAATAATCTTCACCATATATGATTAATACAAATACAGAATAAAATTAAACAAACAACATGAAAATATATCCTTGCAATGCTGACAACAAATTTTTGATTGAAAAGCGCAGGGGACTGTGTGTTGCGTAAAAGCACTGCAGCGCTCTGCCACCAGATTCTAATTTTCTTTAGCTCTCTAATTCTTCTTCTAATCAGTTTCTACATCTTCACGCACAGCATTTGCGACGTGAATTTCTGAGCAAACAAACAAATAGTATTTCTGTAACACATGTGCTGAGTTCAATTTTCTGATCGGCATTTCATAGGCGTTTTTCATTGCCTCCATCAGAACATCCCGTGTGGTTAGCTGGTTTTTGTTGCGCAAAAGACGCCTTCAACTCTGCACATATAGTAACTTTAGCTTCATCTTTTTTCATTATTCTTAAAGTGACTGACATGAAACAGAAGAGGCGACAAAGGATCTCTAACCCATACCCTTATCAAACTTTCATAAAAATTCGTATTGCGGCTAGGCTCTTTCTGTTTTCTTTCGTTGGCTGATTTATTTTACTTAATAAATACAGATCGTCAGCAGCATTGTGTATGACACTACATCAATAATGGAAGCAAATACGAGACAGCGAAGAACGGATTGAGTGCAGGGAAGTAGCGTAAATTGAGATGCTGAAATGAACGCTGTTCTTTATCTAACTTTACGTGAAAAATTAATGCATCCTCAGCGCAGTGACAAATTAACTGATTACAACTTTAGTAAAATCGATATTAACTAGAAAATCACTATAAAGTAACTATTAGATGACCCTGGGACCGAACTAAAGGACTTTTCTCTAGCGCGAGTCGAATTTAGCTTTCATTTTGGGGCATTCGAAGCGAAGACCGATATTTTTCTTTTGGAAATCTGCATATAACAAACACGCTGGAAATGTTCAATTAAAATCTAAGATAGAAGGACAAAAATCTGAGTAAGCAGATTCTGAACAGCTTTCTTTAAGTATGATTAACAAAACGGAGTACGAAAATTTGCTCAACGTGTTGGTAGTTACAACAAGAAAAACAACACAAATAAGAACAGTCTGTTAACATAAGGATCAAAGAAGCGCTTTAAAGGTGGATTTGAGAGGCGGAAACAAACCTCTGCTGCATACGATCTGAACCAACGCCTCACTTTTTCCATATGTTCACCTGTTCACCTTCAAGACAATCCTTAAGATATCGGCCGAAACGTCACACGACTGACAATTTTTGCCTTGTTTATTGAGATACGTTCTCTACGCTGTTTCTCAGCGAGGTGAAAAAGTCAAAACTCCTGCGGAAACGGTTTACATACGACAGAGCAATCGATAACCGTTACCATGTCAATTTTAAAACTGAATAACTGGAGCAGAACAGAAAAGGTTTATGCAGCCATCAATGGGTACTTACCAGAGCTAATAGTTCCTCGAGATAACAAATTCGCTGAAATAACACTGTTCGCAAAAAGTTCGAATATTTCAGCAATTACAAGAATTGCTAAACGGGGTAAAAAGACCTACAGCAATTAATGTCATTGAATGACAAACAAAAGAATCTACTACTTACACTGACAGCAGCAATGTAAGATAAAATTCCAACCAGCAGATATGCATCCTCAATAGCATGATACACCGGGTGCCGAGCGGCATACAGTTCCAGAATGACCAAAACAAGTATCAGGTAGATAAAATTTAAATCTAAAACATGTTATGATCAAAACTCGTTAGGTTCCACATGTCGTGATTAAATAATACAGCGCCTACTCGTATAATGAAGATCATCTCACCGAATCAGAAAACTTTCTTGCATAAATTCACCTCTTTTGAAAAAGTCAACGCCTTCATCCGATCATCAGTGCATGAAAGGACATATGAACAAATAAAATACGAAAATGTCAGCCGTGTCGAATATACAGCACTTCGTGAAACCACCACGGTGGTCACAATGAAACTGCCTGTGATATCATTACAGCGATCACAATGTTACTGTTATCATTCAGGCGATTGTCCAATATAAGACAATCTCGGCAAATACAATTTTCTGACAATCTCCAGTTTCCAGTTTACAAGTTCATCACTCATAAAGCAGGGCAATTCAATGCATGGGTATCATGTACGTCATTATCAGACAACACTTAAAAACACCATTTAGTCTTGCTAATATTGCCTTATGAAAAAAGCATCTGATTCATACGATTACCTGGTGAAAAGCTAAATAAAGAAAATTAAGGATAATGGAAACTCCACTTTCAGCGAAGTCGTTTGAAAACGGTTAATATTGAAGACAATAAAGTTACAAACCGGCAATGACGTTCTTAAACAGGCCACTTACCGAATGTAATACTGATATTCGAAGGGCACATATGGTAGAGTCCGCTAAGTACTCCTTGGAAAATAGTGCTTATTGCGATGCTGAGCAAGATGTTACGCTGCTCGATACCGTTACATATGCCTGGCTGCATTTCACCGGAAGAAATCACATTCTGTCGTTTTCTATACATACGATAGGTCAAAGTATTCGCGGCAATTGCGTTAGACGTTAACATGACAGGACGAAATTTAAAACGACACCAGAACTACAAGTTTACGAATTACACACTCACTGACTAGCAAGCAACAATGCCACGAATTTCGACAAGCTTTATGAGCCGTAAAAATTTCAAAACATAAGAACGACAACGAAGACTAGCCTGAAAACCGCCACCTCCATGATGCTCATTTACAGCTTTAACCATGTACTGTTTTAAAATGTCCTAACGACAGCTTCCAGCAACGATGGGTGCTAAGTATCCTCAGAGTGTACCACATAGACAAAAAGCAAGCGCTGACAACCATCGGCCTCAGAAAGCTGTCCAGAGATCGACGACTGGCTTGGTTTAATAAAATAGGCCAAAATGAGAATGATAATATTATTTGCACCGACCAAACTCCAGCAAAACCACTGCTGGAATTTCATCTCGATAACGGAAACAATAAAACCTTCCATGTAACATTCTGTGAGTACCGTATAAAGGAAACACCATTAACACGTGAAGTATCTTAGCAACGTTGTTGATCTGACTGTCGCTTTCAAGGCGGACCTGCCTAAGGTAGGACAGAAAACCAAGCAGTGAGCCAACATCATAAAAACTAGTGATGGTAATACCTAAAGTGCATAAGCCAGCGGTATACGCACGTCTGACCTGGATCTTACCTCGCCACTGTCACAATATTGTGCTTCAGCTTGGTGAAAGAGCTTAGGCGCGAGAAATGGAAATCCAACTGATCTGAATGATGCGGGTCAAAACACAACTGATTATGTTCATCCTAACAGCGAACCTTCCAATTCTATGCACTTCAAAAGTCAGCCCTCACAAATTAAATGATGAAAGACACCTATGAGAAGCTGAGAAATTAAGAACAACCGGAGTCGTTAATCTGCTTTGTCTATGGGAATTTAAAATTTTGCAACTATACTATAAAAGCATTCAAGAATGGTTATGCAGAATTAAGGCATATAGTCCCCGCGGAAAGCTGATGGAAACTGTCATGAAATTCCGTTCGTAGTTATACAAAGACTCAATTATCATCAATGTTTCCCCCACTATGGTCAGTCGAACAGAACAGTATCAGTACTTCCCTAACCAGTTATAATTAATAATAACACTTGTTAGGCTTCATATCGCATTAGGCATATTAACGAATATGATCGGAAGTAACCAAGATATATTATGAATGATAAAATGTACCTGAGAACAAGAATCGTCGCCAAAATCCCCGCCATAACATAGCCTATATTGCTGAAAACATTGTTGAACGCCACAAATTTTAGCTTCTGCATTTTCAACGAAAGGGCGCATTCGAAGTTAAAAAAGCAACTGTCCATGTTGAAATTTGACTGATTAGTCTAAATAGAATGAATTTAGATCGGCAAGAAATGAGACTGTGAAAAAGGCATACCTCATAAAAGAATGAAACCAGCTGAATGACGGGAAGCGAAAAGAACAAACCAAACGATATCGCCAGGCGGTATTTTTTTTGCAAATATGCTTCTTGAGAAACGATCTAAAAGTCATTTCACAATTTTCTCGCAATTGCAACCGCTGTTATTAAACTAACACAAACAAGACGCAATATGAACACAATACTAATTGAAAAGAAGCCTTCGTAAGTTTACTCCAAGAATTCAATAAACGCTAGACTCAGTCTTCCTCCAAATGCAAAAAAGCGCTCAAGAATTTTATCCGGCGGTTTCTTCTGGTGCCATGAAGCAAACGTACATAAGTCAAATTCGGTGACAGAGTAAATACTTGCTATAACAGGTGCCTTATTCAATCCTCATGAAAAAGTTGTAAAAAAACGTCTCCTAAACAACAGATGTCACAGTCCGAGTAGGGTGGTGAGCTTTCACTGCGGCCGAAGCAACTTCAATCCATTTTATTTTGCACATTCAAAAGAAGGCTCGAAAGTGTACTAAGGCGGTTCGTAAATATCGTATTTGTTGGAATAAACCACGATTCAGCCCTTGACAATAGTGGTGGGCATGCAACAGTTCTTCAGTGTTAGTCGGTACTTGCAAGCCACCCAAACGTATACAACTGCAGTAGAAGCTTGTATTGGAGTCAAACGAGAAAATTTTTACCTGGGATTCAACTCTTTAAGGGTCGAATTCTGTTGCTATTTTTATACATCATATATATGGACAATATGAACAGGTGTAGCCACTGAAAATTTGCTAAAAACAGGCGATCAGCACTATTAGCATTGAAAGTAATAGACTGACTCCAAAGACACTGAAAAGTTTTGCAATCGAACATGATGCTGCAATGGCATACGAATAAACAGGTACAACAGAATCGTTGCTTTTCTGGTTCATTTCTCTGACACGTGATTCTTATACCAATGTGATGCCAATGACACATATGGAGAAGTTACGGTGCCTTAAAGTGCATGACTACTGACAGATAAGATACGCAATTGGCTTGCGGGTTAGAATGGCAAGCATAATCTGACACGAACTAATCCAACTGTTCAGACACAGGTGATCTTGGGACAAAACTATTTTCAAATTAATTCTCTTCTACAGTGATGGCCACAGTCATGACATACAGACAACAATCGAAAGATGACTGCCAGTGAAAGAAACCGAAATAAAACTTCTGATAAAAATTACTACGCTTGTGCCCCCAATAGGGATATATACTCAGAGATAATGAGCCCTCAAATCCGCTGCCAAGTGTGACGAGTAGGAAGTATCAGCTGAAATGATTTGGACAAATTTGCGAATGCTACTGAGGAACATAAATGAGCAAGTTTCTTGTCTGACCAATAGTCTTAAGATCCAACCCTGGATACCTTATAATAAATATAGTGAAGAATTTTGTGACACACCCGATGTAATTTCATTTGAAAGAGCACGAACGTCTGACACTGTCTGCCGATGCGATCTGAAAATACAATCGATTCTAGAACACGAATGAATGGACTGCAATGCTAAACGACTTCGAAAACACGGAGGATTCTCAAAGCACAGTGACGTTAAAATATCACAAATTAACAGAAGCTACAGGTCAGAGATCAAAGAAAATGCTAATCTAATATAAGAATTTCTTTGATTCAGAACAAAACTAATTTAAGTCTGACGTCTGATTTAAAAGTTATATTTGAGAACGGTACACTACTGGTGTACACTCCTTAAATAGCAAAAATACAAACTGGTTTGTGACAAATAGTCGTCTTCACTTATATGGAAGCGCGCCTGGAATGTTATTCCAACCGTGCTACGCATTATGAACCTAGGTCTATGTTACTAAAACTTTGTTTAGCCCTAAATGACGACGACAGCAATCACAGTCAAGTGTGCGGCATAAAAAGGTATCTGACATTTACGTTCACATCTGTCCCGCTGAGCCAACCAACAGGACCACTCTAACAAATTGAAAAATATCCCAGATAAAACCCTGTTAAACAGAGGCAGAAACAACAGGTAACTTGGCATGTTTCTAAATAGCAAAGCTTCCAACAACTATTTTCAAAGATATCCTTAACTAATCAAGTTCGATGTCTAGCAAATCTATATTTATATGCTTTCCTGGCGCAGAACTGAAAGAACAGTCGTTACTTCGATTGAATTTCGTTAAGCAAGGGGTTCGCATTTTGCAACCTGTGAATTAAATGCTATGAATCATCCTATCATTTTCACTAAAACGAAATAATACTATAACGCCATGAAACTCGTTTGATAGAATTACGGTTTGTGGCCTTCTCCCCGAATAAAGGCCGGTATTTCTGACCTTGCTACCATAGCATTAAGAATAAACGTATACCAAGAAATCGTTGAGTCCAGCAATTTACTGCTTCAGTCAAAAACTGAGACACATCGATGCAATAGAGAAGCAGAAACACACTGAACCACGATCTGCTTTAAAATAAGTTAGAATCTAGCAGCAGCAGAGGACGGTACCACAGTCAAACAAACTTTAGTTTGGCACAGCTCAGCACTCACTAATTTACGCCGGCAAATGAACGCACATTTATTTCGAAAAAATATATGGGATATTCAGGCTCCAGCAATATCACTGATAATGAACAAAATAGTTGTATTTGCCTTTGTTTCATTTACGCCTTGCGTTGATTCTGAGTCAAATATCAGGTTGATTAAGGCGATGACGGCATGTCTCACGCTATGGCGTGATCACGCCACAACAAAATGCTGTCGTTATTACACGTAATTAACTTTTTACCCATTTCTCTGCTAGTGACGCTGAAGCACATTCAGGAAGCGTTCTTGCTCAGAGGAACTGGAAGTCGATATGATAAATTTTTACGCTGCGTTTTGAGTCCAAACGAGGTACCTCTAGTAGCAAGTAGAATACCTCTAGTAGAAAAGTAGAACTAGCAACCCACCAC